TGATATTCTTATTAATGCCAATAAAATACACATTCTTAACATTAAAATTTTTTCGTGTCATATACACTTTAAGAGAAAAGTACACCGGCTTAATGTAAAAGCAAACCTGTTCAGGACTCATGTATAGATGTGTTCCAACCTGTCCTGTATGATTCGCATCTATGAACCCATTTTTGCCTAAAAACATAAAAAGGTTAAAGAATTATACAAGTTAGTATGGGTTGACATTACTTGCTTAAAAGAGACCAACACATTATTGTTTGAGACTGAAGTGGGACAGGCCAATTCCAATAGGTGAGGGAGGGGGTTACAGCATGAAGTATCAAGGTCATACCTTTTGTAGTATTATCTGATGGCTCTTGAACACCCGTCACCAAACCAAAATCACCAACTTTCACTGAACCATCCAGTGAGAAAAATATATTGGATGGCTGAAAGATTTTAATTAAAAACATTTATTACTAAACAATGCAAATTTATGCAAGTTCTTTGAAATGGAAGGATATGGAAGGATACATATAAAATAAAGGGGCATTAATTAATGCTTGTTTAATGGGACAGTGTTATTCAACATAGGTTCAAATCTTTAAATTTACCTTTAAATCTCTATGCATCATCCCTCTACCATGGAAATATTCTACAGCATTGACAATCTAAAAAAATAGAGCTTAGTTTTCCAACATTGTTGCACTTTTTTGTGGGGGAGGGGGGGAGGGGCTACCTCACTCTTTCTATAAGTAAATGGTAAATTCATATAATTTTTTCACAAGATCAATGAAGCAACCCAATAATGACATCAACAGGCACAATGAATGTCGGCCAGATAACTAATCTACCACACATACCTGATCAAAGAAATTTAGACAAGAAGAATGATCTCTTTCATTGTTGATTTTGAGCCAGTCCTTGAGACTCTCTCTCTGACACAGCTGCATTTGTATAAATAAGTATAAGGGTGCTTGGAGGGTATCTTGGTTGCATTTTTCACTCTTGCACTTGTGATGCATACCTAGAAAGATACCATAATATTAGTTATGATGTCCAAGATTTGGGTGACATGGGTGGCATTTGCTGCTAAAGCACTGTATCACTATATCAGCACTGTATCACTATATCAGCACTGTATCACTATGTCTATTTCAAGTTTGGTTTTGCATGTTCCAGTCTCAACTGAACTGCATGAAATATAAAATATATTAGTAATCTAGAAAAAGTCTAACAAGGGTTACAGAAAAGCTAACAATTGAAAATAATTATAAGCATATGTGTACTTACCAGACAGAAGAGACTGCCCGGATGTCGTAAATGAAGGACTCAGAGACTTACAGCTTGAGCTATTGCTACTTTTCCTTGATAAGGGACCCACGTCTTGATTTTCTTGCTACAATATAATAGACGTAGAGATCTAAATATACATGTCAAATTTTCATTCTGTTGACTAAGAACAAATCAAATTCTTCCATGCTCTTTTATTCCATTTTTTTTGCTTTTCCTTTTCTCCATCCCACATCTTTCCTTTAAAATAAATATAAAATAATCAAAACTTCTTCTAACCTCAGTACAATCACTACTAAGAACAATTCCATCATCTGTGTCATCACCATCATCAACATCATCTTGCTGCGATGAGACTCTAACACCAGAATCACGTTTACTCAAGTCAACAAATTCGATCCCAAATGACCCACTAGTGTCTGGTTCTTCTAGTAGAAATGCTTCATTTTCAAGTTGGTGTACATCAAATGGGACACTGAGATCTTCCTCAGCTGCTGTAAGTGTAGTATGTCTTCCATCTTTATCATCACTGCAGTTGCTTGAAGAACCCTTTGACTTTGTACTTGAGCTTGTCTTTTTCCTTCTTCTTACTACCATATATGAATTATTCAAGTCTCCTGATAAAATTTTGTAAAGTAAAAAAGCTCAAAACTTTGCCTCAAGGAAGTATGATTCATATATTGACAACTCACTCACTCAGGAGAGTTTGTATATAAATCTTAAGCCCCATCTAAAATGAGAAAACAGGTTTCCAGAAAGAATTTTAATTTGTTAATTGTTTCCAAAGATGGCTAAACTGTCAGAAAACTGGTAAAAATTGAGGAAGCATGCACGTGGTAAAGAAGTTTCAGGACATGTTTCCCTAATTTAGCCAGGACTGTACACTAAGTTCATTTGTCCATCTGCCCTCACTCTGGCCAATTTTCCAAAACTCCCTCCAGGAATTAAATTAAAATCAATAATTTGATTATATCATAATTTATTGACTCACCCTGAGTGGTGCAAGGATGCCCATTAACGTCTGAATCCAAGTCCATATCGGTGGAGGTCCTTAAAGAGAATTTAATATGATGAGTTAATTTCTAGATATACATTAATTTGTTAATAAGCAAAATCAAGCTAACAAATACCTGTTTTCTAAATACATATCTTCTTGCCAACCAACAGGAGGTGCTTCAAACCAGGCATTAAAATACCTCACAATACAAGGATGTTCTAGTTTGGCCAGTGCTTTTACTTCTCGCATGACTTTTTCTCTTGCCTCATCACTGCAAGAAAGCACAGATGAGCCTTTTTACAAGTAACCATTCAAACACTACCTCATAAGGGTTCTTGTCTTCTTCTGGTTCAATTGACACTCACCAACTCAAACTAAATTTTAAGGAAGAAAATACCAGAGAATCCAAAGAAAAACCCTTGTGACAAGGAAGAGAATGAAGCTCTAGAATAAATACAGCTGATTCCCGTTGAGCCTTTGAAGGCCCTGTATAACATGATCGTTGTAGCAGAGTTTGATTTGCATGTTGTCAAATCAGAATGCCAAGCCTTTCTAGGCAGCTGGAAACATGTTCAGCTGATAAGAATACCTGTTCACAGTTGCCTAGAAATGTCTGGCGACAATTGCTCTATTTCACTATGACGTCACTGCTTGTTTATGTTGGGGATAGAATCGCCAAATCCAATAGGAAATTCAACAAAATTTGCTCCTAGTGAAACAGTTTAATCTAAAATGGCCTAGTTTTCAGAAATAATATGTGTCTGAGCATTTGCTGGCTATTCTACTTCCCTTAGTGGATTGATACCAGTTCCAGAACAATTTTCGGTGAAATTGCGTTGATTTGACTCCGTCCGACGACCATGATCCTTTGCGTTTAAACAATGACATGTGACGTCATAGTGAAATAGGGCAATTATTCTGTACAACAACATGCAAGTTAAAGTCTTTTACAAACAATCAGGACAGTGTCATTAAATGCTCAACCTGAATTGGCTATAATACTTACCAGTTTGGTAAACGTACTCTCTTGATGGCATACTGACAGTCATCTACTTTATTTTTGGCCTGAAAGACTACACCAAAGCCTCCTTTACCCAAACAGAGTTCATGTTCAAAGTCAGTAGTATACCTGTAGAGTAATATACCAAACCATTTATTTGTGTTTTATGAAATAATGAATATGGAAGGTACTGTATAGCAAAAAGACACCTTGAGCAGTTTTCTGATGTCAAGTACTTCATAAGCCCCTTTTAGAATAATGAAGGCCTCAAGACCTGTCTAAGACATCAGTAAAGGTAGGTATCTTCTTCCTCTACCCTGTTTAACATTCATTTATCATCTTTATAATAATTATAGTTGATTTATATAATAATATATTATAATAAATTTATCATTTTCATGATGGCAAAGTTGATGGTTTTATACCTATTAGGTGTTTGTTTGTAATCATTAATCAAAAATTTGTTATGCACCACTGATGGATTCAGGTGTGTTTCCAGGGGTGGTGAGAGATGTGTTTATAATTGAAAACATTTAGATTATAAACTTTCAAATGTTTAATTTTAAATTTAATTTCTGTCAATTTGAGATGCCATATTTTCACCATTTTCAGGACTGCCTTTCATTGCCCTCCTTTTTTTTAAATCCTACACCTACCCCTGCTGCTGAAAGTCAAAACTTAACAGTAATAAAATTACAAAGTTACCTTGAAACAAAGATGTTGTTCATGGATGATGATGATGAAATGTTTGATGTTAATGATTGTTCTCTTTGCTAAAACAGACAAAGTAGATAAAAGGTAAGATTAAAATCTGTTTCCATATGGATCTAATATATGATTAATTTATAATGCACTGAAACAATGTCTTACCAATGCTGGCTCTGACGAACTTGCAGTTAATGCATTAGGAGCAGATGGCAGCCTTTGTCTCTCTGGTGTCTAGTGGGGAATAATCAATGAATATAATATAATCAAGTGCCTATTTGCCATTCCAAGGTTAAGTTAAAAACTGAGTCAAGTTGGCATTGCAATGCATTTTGGGGTGGAAAATAAACACCAATCTAAAAAATATGTCCCCCAAAACAGCCCACAATGCACTGCAATACCAACTTAACCCAGTTTTTCTTCAATCTTGGAATGGAAAATTATTTCTGTGCTTACTGAAAGAATTAAATTATCAATAAATCATTTAAAACATAATTGAATAAAGAATGAAAGATAATTTTATATCATTGTTTTACCAAGAAGCAACTAGTTTTACATTCATTTACCTTTTGTGTTTTGGGAAGCAAAAATCTGAAGATATACCRAGCAATGGCTACCAAAAAAAAAACAATAAGAACGGCTCCTTTCCTGCAGCAATAACAATAGCAAAAATAAAGTGAGGGCTTCAAACCAGGATAATATGACGAGTGAGCAGTTTCATCAGAACTTTTATGAAAAGATTCGTTGGAGGTGCACTTTTTCAATTTTTCAGTTCATTTTTGCACAACTGCTTGTTTTACAGGTTGTTTCATGTTTGTGTAACTTAACTGACTTCAAACGTCTGGCCTCAGTCAATCAAATTTTTGAATTTGAATTAGTGAATTCTGATGATGATTGATAAGTATTCCCATGACTGAAAAACATTTTCCCCATGGAGTCGTGGGTATATTTATCACTCATGTTCGGAATGCAGTTGACTCATTGTATATTTGATTGACAAAAGCCAAAAACAAGCAAATGAAACAAACATATATTGGAAGTCTAAACCTTGATATCTCCATAACTTGATGCTTCACTCAAATCATTTAAAATATTTTACTATTTAACTTTTGACTTCATGTAGAATTAATACTTAAAATATTGAGTTAGGTGCTATAGGCAATTCAAACAATAGCTTTACCAGTATTCCATTGTTAAAACTGATTTTTCAGGACTCTTTTCTTTGTTAGTTGTATTTAGAGTCTCATTTTTGTTATCAAAGTTTTCAATCCTTCTTCCATGAGGAGGGACAACTGGTTGGACATGGCCAAAGAAGAAATAACCATTATCTGAAAAATAAGCAGAACAAATCGATTCAATCCTTTTCAAACAATATTCGTATGGAAACAGGTGCCAAAAAACTGGTAACTGACATAATGCCAGTAGCATACAAAATTGTCTTTTCAAAAACCCATGCAAAGAATTATTGATATCAGGAAATAAATATCTTATTAGAAACCAGGGGCAGATCAATAGGGAGGGTTAAAGCCCCCTCCCCCTCCCCCTCCCCCTCAATGAGTTGATATGTAACTGTGTTATTGGAGCTTGTGTTTGTGAATGTCCTCATCATAAATGGTGCACCTCAGAAATTAATTTCTCGATTCCATCGTGAAAACAAGTTACTTTTAAAGATTATAAATAGATAAAGTAAGAGTTTTCTCCTACCAAATGGATATTCCACAGGATTCCATATTGCAATTTCCTTGGACACTACAGTAGGAGTACGGGAAGCTGATGTTGCAAGTTTTGGCTTCCATGTGATGGCTCTTGGTCTTCTAGCAACTTCATGGTTGCCTTTGGACTGCACTTTGATAGCAGAATCCAATAATGGATTGAAAGAATGCTGTGAGGGCTGGATATATACTTGTCCTTCATGAGAACCTAGTAAGTAAAAGAAAGAAGCATAGTTGAATAAGAAATATGAATTGGCTTCATGTGTTACTGTATTGAGTAAAAGTAAAGCAGGTCATCAACTTTGTAACTTGGTGACACTTATTATGTTATTATCATCTCCTTGATATGTTGAACAGGGCTAAAGATAACAGCTGGTTCGTTGCGGGTCATGTTGAGCAGCCAAATTAGTTTTAGCTCAGTCATACCTCATTTCTGGTTTAAAGTTACTGCATGGTCAAAATGACTGGCAAGGTAAAGCTTTGACAGGACCAGTTCCAGTTTTGGCTGGCCATTGTCTGATGAGGAATTACTGTTCTATGTCTTTACCAAGAAAAAGAAAATGCTTACCAAGATACATGATGGGTTTATCTGAGCCTTCCTCTGGGAGACCATCTCTCAGCCCTGGCAAAACATCTTCACTAAAAATATCAACTGATTTTAAATCGCTTCCATGTAGCATCCAGACAGCATTGACTGGTGATTCAAATTTATGACTCCACAAAACAATATCACTGTCGATACCAGCCATGTCATGAAGCTTTACAGCTGCAATCAATCCATCTGGAATTGAAACTCTCAACTTCCATTCTACTGTTTCTTCACTATCTTCTACTGGACATTTTGTGTCTTGATCATTTGTTAGAGAATCTAAGAATGTGACATCTTGTTGTCCAACAGAAAAATTCCACCTACAAAATAAAAAATAAAAATTGAGTTATACTATGTAAGAAAGTAAAAATATACAGCATGAATGAATGAAATACTATGTAAGAAATTGAAAATATGAATGAATGAATGAATGGATGAATGAATGAAAGAATGAAAGAATGAATAAATAAATGAATTTGCTTTAAGATTTTTGAGTGATCTTGGTTAATATAGCCCCACCGTAAGGTACTTCTCACCTTTCACTTCCTGTTCTCTGGTCTACAGCTCTAACAGTCTGCTTGGTTCTCTTCACCACAAATATATCACTGTCTTGAACATGATCACCTGTCTCGTGGTCAGTTAATTTGCACCCTTCAGCTGAACACACATACCTCACCTTAATTCAATACAAAAACAATAATTACAAATGAAAAAATCACTTCTTTCCATAACTTCAAGGCATCTAGACTACTAACAGTACCTATTTTCCCTCCTAACTCAGTCGAGTCAGGTCTTTACACTACCTTGGACTCACAGGGACTGGATATGATTCTTTGCACATGCTGCCTCACTAGCCCCACTCCCCACCCACCAAAGGCAGGTACAAAAACTCAACTAAGAGAATTGAATAATAGCGACTGTTAACAGCTGTCTACAAAGCTTCTTATTAACCATAAATATTTCTTATAGCCCATTTATTTTAATTTTTAGATTTAGACTCTGATTTCTACTACCTATAGGCTATAGTTAATACATGACAACAGTACTTTGTGCAGGACAATATTTTTCATTAATAACCTTTCCTGATTTGGGGTCAATACCACAAGATATTGCTTCTTTTCCTCCAACCAACATTGAACCATCTTGAAGTTTATAAAATGATCCCAACAGATTGTCTGCTGTGTAAGGAATAGGCTGTTCAAAAAAATAAAATAATGATGTTTAATTGCATTCACTTATATTTATATATATCTTGTACTAAAAATTTCAACAGGTCACTTGAATTATAGCATCATTAACTACCACTACCAAAAACTAMATGTATTTAAAAAATTTGCAAAGCATTTCATATGTATCGAATTGAGCTGATCCTTGCAGTATATAAAGCAACTTATGCAGCTGCAAATTTAAAGACTCAAAGAAATTCTGAGTCTTGAACGGGATTTGAACCCATATCATTTGTGGTAGTAAAGTGACTCATCTTACAAATGGCCAGGTGACTTATACAAATTAAATTACCTCAATATTCTCTCCATTCACCTGATAGAGGCCACCATCTAGAGAAGGGATAATCTTAACCTGCTTTCCATTCTGAAATGAATATGAAAGAATAAAATACCAGTAATAATCTAGAAGCAAGTAATCTTAAACCTCAGAGTCTAAACCTCAATATAATATTAAGGCTTATGCACCTATCAGCGGCTTCCCCGTGGGGTCGATCCCCAGGCTGACCAGGGAGATGGGTGGGAGAATATAGAAGGATTGGATGCAGTTATTCCCCCTGGGGTTGGGAAAATTTGTGGCATTGGTTTTGTGGCTAAAAACTGAGGTGGGGAATTGTAATGAAGTTATTTTCATTGTAGAGGTTACCAGGGAGATTGATTTTCCTCTCTAGTTAAAGAAATAGCTCCTGATTTTAAAAATTTTGAGACCACGGACGTTTTTGGTCGGGCTGGGTTACCTGTGTTAGTCGCCAATACCCAGATGGCTGACGAGGTGAGAGAATTCCACTGTGAAGTATGTTTTTTGACATTCTTYGTTGTTTCATAGATACGAATTCAAAGGCAACTTTATTTTTTTTACTTTTAAATGTGAATTCTTCATTTCATGAGAGTTTTTTTTCCAATCTTTTCAATGAAAAACTACCTGAAATATCGGGCAAACCACACGGGTTAYGCGTTGAGTTCAGTTTTCAAAATATAATAACAATAATTTCAACCAAAATGAGGGAGATTGTAGATTTGAATGCCTCGACCAGGGGACATTGAAAAGAACAACTTCCCTACCCCTGGGAAAAATGATCAACATTGTTTATGAATTTTTACAATCTCCCTGGTCAGTCCGGGGGTCGACCCCACGGAGAAGCCGCTGATAGGTGCATTATCATTAGACTCAAATATCTAGTAGTATGTACAAATCAAAGTACAAACAAACAAATAAACAAAAACAACAAGTTTATATTTCCGAGAGTATAAGAGGTGTTTAATAGGGGAATCGTTTTTGATATCTTGCATGAACAAGGCTCAGGAAGAAATATCTAACCTGGAGAGAGCTAAGACTAGATGACAGCAAAGGCCCTGAAATTGCTGGCAAACTCCACCGAAGTGCTCCATTTTCTCTGGTATCCAATGCTGAAAGTTTTCCATCCAATGTACTTACAATAATAAGGGAGCTGAAGCAAAAACAAATACTCAGGTTTTTATAACAATAGATGAGGTAAACACCAGGGTATTGTTTACTAACCAGGAGTCTAGAGGTTTGGTTAAATCTTTGTCATTATTTTTAGTTTGACTTTCGTCGTTTGAACTGCTGCTGTTCGACCCTACTAACTCAACCAAAGCAGCCATAAATGCCACAAACTTGATCAAAGACAGGTATTCCAGAATTCTCATCTTATGCTGGATGGTATTCTCATGTTGTGAAGTGATAATTTACAGACTAGAGAAGTGTTAAGATGGTCAAAATTGAATCATTCTAGAGCACAAAAAATCGTGTCTGTTCTAATGAATCCGCCATGTTTGTTATGAGGTGATGGTGTAATGCCTTCTGATTGGTTGATCGGTTACACGACGAGAAAAAAATCGTCATCAGTCTATTTATAGATATTTACATCAGTAACCGCGCCATGCCGCGCCGGTGGAGTCTACACGTGGCGACTTGACTGGCGACTTTTCATTTACAAAATATATATATTTAAATCATTGTATTTTATTATTGAAATTCTAGTTTTTACTAGTATCTTCTAAACTCCAAAATCAAATAAGGATATGCGACAAGCTGATGTTTATGTTTTTTAAGCCAGCATCGATAATGTGATATTTCTTAGAGGGGGAGGAGGAAGGGAGAGTGGGAGGGAGATGAGGAAAATTGCCTTGAATAACAGGGCATAATAAACTTGCAGCAGCTTATTTCTTATTTGTATCAACTTTTTTCCTATTCGCAGCAGCTCGTCTATTCGCTTGCACGTTCCAATGGGGCACCGAAACTGAAAGCCAATGGTGGGAAGACTAATCGGAAGAGAGGTCAACTTGGGTCGACTTGTTTATTTGGACTCCCTGTGTCTTCGGAAGCTCGCTAAAGGGCCCTCAATCGTTACGGCCAGCGGAAGTTTTCCCGCGTTAATCCGAAAAACGAACTCGAGAAGGAAGTGAAAATATGGTTAGATTTATGTCATTTTTTTACTTCGATCGAATCAAATTGAATGGATAAAGCAAGAAATACATCACCTAGCTTTAAAACTAAAAGCTTCTACAGTTCAAAGCCATCCCCAAGGTAGGATTCGTTGTTTTTACCGATGTTTTTGGTAGTTGGAGCTTCTTCTTGGACACACTTTCCTTTACAGATCCAAAACGTGGGATGAAAAGCAAGCAAAATGGGAAGCTAAGTTCCAGGAGTTTAAGAAAAAGCCTATTCCTACACCGAGACTCTTAAGGTTTTTTCAAACAGCTGTCTTAAGCTTACTGTTTATTTTATTAAGTTTTGAGATTGATCACTTCTGAATGTATCCTTTTTGTAATACAGAGTGTGATTTCAAGATTATTGACTGTAGAAATATTATTTTGTACAGACTTGACGATCCTATTCCAGTTTTCAAACGATTTCCCTTGCAACAGTTGGCATTTGATTATGCAAAGACATGTAGTAAGGTCATTATTGTTATTGTTGTTGCTGGCATTGTTTATTTGGCTATTTATTTGCTTATTTAATGATTGCTGTCGTTGTTGCTAATATTGGCATCATCATCAATATCAATATTTTTTATTTTTCACTCGGTAGCTATGTTGGCTGGAATAATAGGTTTTTGCCGTCCAGCCTCACATGCAAGCCCTTAGGGATGAGTTTGAATGGGCAGAAAAAAGGCTTTAATCCTTGTGGGAGTAAACATGGCTGCTGCATAACAATATAACCTAATATAATAAAATAAACGAATTCACATAGCCTTTAAATGTGCTGAAATTAAAAACTTTACTTAGGAAAAAACAAAATTAAGACAGTCTATTTTTTAATTATAATTATAGGATGTTCATGTGTTTTCTGAGGAAATTGAGTGTGGTGGAAAGAGGCGATACCTCGTAGCAACATTTGACCAATTTTGGCAAGTATACAGGTACATTGAAAATACATGCCTGATTCTTTTTAAATTTTTCACAAAGACATGAAAATTAGAGTAAGAAAGAAAATCCAAGCATTTGGCGATATTGTTATGTCCTCATATGCAAGCAGCCTATTGATCAGAATGTCTTTTTTTAATGGTTTAGTACAGGCAGAGGATAGACACAAAGTCCAAACAAACTCAGCCTGAGACATATCTTTACTTAAGTAAACACAGTATGACATTGAATACATACTACATATTTATTTCTAGGAAACTGGAGCGAGATCAAAGACACTACTATGAAGTTATTATAGAAGGTTATCTAGTACAGTCCTTACTGTACATATTTTCTATGTGAAATTCTTAATATTTTATTATTATTTATTAACTTGTAAAGTGCCAATATCAATATACATTTTCATTGGCAATTCTTGAATTATTACTATTGTTGGGCTTCCTGCTGAAATCAAGCAACTTGTACACCAGAGGAATTTTAGTGTCATAGTTGCATGAAAACTTAAAAATAAGCAGACAGAAAGCACAGCTGGTTTGGGCTGCTAATGGCTGCCTCTATAAATCAATGTGACTTTTGTTCCATTCCCAAGCTTGGTGTTGTATGTGAGTAGAGTTGTTTGTTGGTTCTCTCCTGCGCTTTGAGGGTTTTTCTCCAGGTTTTCAAGTTTTCCTTTCTTCACGAATATTAACTCCAAAAAATCCAATTGGATCTGTTGCTGAGTGATTTAGTTATGAGTGGTTCAGGAGGCTGAGTAATTATTGCTCCCTGCATGTTTGACACAAAATTAATTACATTTATATTCATACAAAACTCAAATCAATTTCTTCTGAATAAAAAAATATTTTTAGGAGCAGCTTGCAAGCTATATTTTGATCTTGAGTTCATTAAAGATCTCAACCCAGACAGTAATGGAATTGAAATGGTTGAGATTTTCATAAAGGTGAGTCATTAAATGGCATGTTTAGTCTCAAGTTGTCTACACTAGTTATGGGATCCCTGTGGTGTAGGTGGCAGGGTTTTGGCCTTCCTTGAGATAATGCTACTTTATTGGCTAAAGACATATGACTTCCACTCTCATATGACTTCCATTCTTTAACAAATGAAATACTCATTTGACCCATTCAGAATACTCAATCAAATTTTGAAGAGTCTATTATAGTAGTGCCAATGAGTCTATTATAGATTTCTTTATCAAATTGAGCTGATCTTCGCAGTATATGAAGCAACTTATGCAGCTGAAAATAAATTTCTTTTTCAGTATGTCTGCCATCAAATAAAACAAAGCTTTGGAATCAGTTGTGATCGAAAGCATGTGATAGACTTGGACTCCAGGTAATATCAGGCTCTTTTACTAGGCTAATTCATGATCTCAAATCTGTTGCAAAATGATTTATAAAATGATTTATAAATACCAAAGTTTATAAATTCATTTGTGGTGTTTTATTTCTATAGCACAGAAACCAAGTTCTCCAGACATCTTATATTTTGTCTGCCAAATGCATTATTCAAGGACAACACACATGTTGGTTAGTGACCTGTTATCGACTGTCAGCACAGAGGGGGCACTGAGGGGCACTAAGGGGGAGGGATATAGAAAGTCTGAGGGCTGGATTTCCATGTCTGTTTCAACTTCTCTCTAATCCATGTAGCTTTGGCTTTGAATACTCTTAAAACAGCAATGATGGAGAGAGGGAGTATAGTGTGTGCTGTCATCTCCCTGGAAGACCAGCCATGTAGCTGAAGATACTACCAACGTTAAATATAGTTACTTTACTATTACCTTTGAAAGCCTGGGTCATAAAAAGTGGACAAACAACAATGAGTGCTTGCTTAAATTTAAGCATATACCCATGGGGACTGGTATAATATTTTATATGATGATGGTGATGGAGGAGCAAGGGAGATGTGACATTAACCTTTTGAAATCTCAAGCTCCCCTTTACTCTTAATTTTTATCCACTAAGGGATGTTCATTATTGAAAAAACAACACAAGTTGATAGAGCTAAGGAACTGAGTACATCAAATTGTTCTGTTAGGAAACTTTGTGAACCACATTTGCTTCAGCATTTTGAATCTGGTTCACAACCACCACCCTCCACATGACAAAAATGCTGAGCCGGGAGAAACTTCTGAAGGCCCTGAACCAAAGGTTCCAAGGAAGACACAAGAAAACGTGTCCAAAGTTATCACAGATGAATATATCAATGGAGGTATTACATTTAAATGAAATGATGGATGTAATGACTTAATATCGGCTCGCATTGTCTTCAAAGACTTGGAATGCTTGCCCACAATGAATGATCTAAAAAGCTGCTTATTTCCACTTTAACTACTGCTTCTTTTTTAACATTAGCTGTCTTGATTCTTTACTCTAAAAGATAATATAGCTAGTTAATTATTATTACTTTAGCATCAAGTCTAAAGCGAAGTGGCTTACAAAGTTTTTTTTGCGCGTAAATTTGAAGCACAGAGTTCCCAAAATAAATAATTAAAGAAGACAAGAACGGTCATCTTCAAAKCATTCATAGTATTTTGAAAGACAGGTCAATATTTGGATTGTTTTTCTAGTTGCAGTTGAAGATTTGAAAAACCTCCTGATAGTAAACAATAAAGGAGACGTCGTAACATTCTGTGATCAAGGTGAATACTCACATACTAAACTAGGTTTAGCTATATAAAAGAAAAAAGAAAATACGCGCGTGTGTCCTGTGAAGTGACAAAGCACGCAGAAATTGGTAGAACTCACACAAGGAAAAGCACAACGCTTAACAACTTTCCCTCTTACGCAGGTGTTTATACAAAGAACCGTAATTTTCGCGCGTACAAGTCGGCGAAGTTTGCTAAAAAAGCAACACTGGAACTGGCAAAAGAAAACATGTTTAAGGTGAGTGCGTGTGGCCAATAGCGATGGCAGATCCAGGGGGAATAGTGTGACTACTCACTTCTCTTTAAGAGTTGAAAAATACAAAGAATAAAGAAGGCTATGTGATGCCTTTCTAGGTAACAATCTTCCCCCTTTTGAAATCGTTTTGGATCTGCCACTGAATACTGGCCGTGAAGATATGGACTGCTTTACTATTTTTCTTATCCACAATAGACACACCCTAGTTTGAGAGCTGTCAGCTTGGTTAGTGTAACGTTTAATGTTAATAGGAATTCTTGGTGATTTTTTAATCTTTTTTTTTACTGCATTTTCATTAGCCTGACATGAAAAACAGGACAGGGAGCTTCAGCCGCGATCCAGACTACGTTTCGTTTTTAGATTCTTTGATATCCAATGTCAGGTAAATGTTTTTAGACAATTTGCATGCAAAAGAATTCTTGACCTTGATGTATTCAACTAGAGACACATGAAAGTGAGGTCAGTGAGGCCAACATAAGGTAGCGTTAAGTGGCACTATTCCATTCTCGTTTATTTTCAATAGCACGCGCGAAATCGCTACAAAGGAGATTTTGGTGGACATCAAGCAAGGGTATTTCCATGAAATACCATAAGCACTTGCCGTTGAAGACTGGCTATGTCCGTTTCCGACAATGTCAATCGAAAAACTTTGATTGACGCCCACCTAAACCCTATTTGTCGCGACGGCAAATTGTACGACTCCGCGCCGGCGTGCTATCGAGAAGCACTGTAAGTAAGCACTGCTGATCCTCCTCGAAAGGATGTTGCCTTGAAGACGCGTTCTAAGCCGGAGTAAAGTTAAGAGCGTGACACAAATATAGCATCCACTGGTCCTATTTACCTCACTTTGATGTTGTCTTGATGACACTAGTAGTACCTAATGATCAATTAATGTTTTATAAGTGATAATGCTTTGAGTGATGGGTACACGTTACAGCTCACCTACCCTTTATTCTCGCGCCCAGTTATAATGACAACATGCTAAGGCATGTCAAGGTGTTGACGTTCGAGAGTGAAACAGCAAAAGCAGGAAAACGATCAAGACCTTCTAGTACTGGCCATCCTGGTAAGAAATACAAAAAAATTGGTTTGATTTACACTAACGGGTCACATGGTCACTCGTTCAGAAAAAAAGAAAAAAAAAAAAAAAGCAAATGAAGGTAAAAAAATCAAAAACCATTTACAAACTATCAAAGCATCGACAGCATTGTTTGAACTACCACAAATTAATCCACTCGAACGAGGTCATATGCCATTGCCTATTGTGTCGTATTATTGAACTATTCATGATAGATTACTTTATTCTTTTGTTGTTATTAAATAAATTATTGACAAAAAATAATTGCATTATTCACGTTACCTTCCAATTATAAGTCCAAAATGATAATGACAATGTTATCCCGTGTTTCTGTTTTGTGTAGAACAACCTGTCGAAACTTTGCCTTCAGGATACCAACACTCCCCATTCCCACAAATCGATGATTTTATCTTGACTGTCATCAATAAGGGAGGTGTTCAAGGAAAGATTAGAAGATGGGTTTATTTCGCACAAGGTAGGTGACATCATGGGCGGTAGCACGTCCTTAGTACCTTCATTCCGTCATGTGGACACTATATTATCACTGCTTTAGAGCAAGGCGTAATTTATCGATGATTTCCACTGACCTTACAGAAGGTTTCCTGTTTGTAAATCACGATGCACGTGATGGTCTCGTGCGGAAACGACGATATCCCGGCTTTAGACCAACAGCCAGGTTTTGTTTGCATTTAAGCAAATCACAACCTGCGCCTTTTGTCCTGGTCAAAATGTCGCCGTCACGGTTACCGCATAACCAATTGGTGCCCAAAGTTTTTCAAAGAACGCAATGATTTTTTGTTTGTTTGTTTTGTTGTTATCGTTGTTGTTGGGGATTGAGTGATTATCCTGCAGTGATAGAACCTCCATGAATGCCCATAAACCTTTCATTTCAAATACGGTGATTATCGAATGGCACGAGATCGCCATAGTGATAAAATGACACATTCGTCTTGTTACCCTGAATGGTTAGTCGACTTCGCTTGTTTTACAGGAAAAGTGTTGATGTTTGACATCGATAAGAACAGATGGTGTGAGAATATTGGACGAGCACATCAAAGTAATCATATTATGTAAGTCTTTCACGCTCTAACCATAATATCTCTCCCTCCCCACCCCTCCCCTCCCCATCAACTTCCTTAGAAGATGCAATTTTCAAGGTCGGTTCCTTTTAGAATACGAATATGTTTATAGACATAAGCAAGGAAAGATACACTAGGGGGAAAATTAAGTGTCTCACTTCATCATTCTGTTGCCTTTCTTTTGCTTTTCGTCCTCTGTAAACCTGACCCTTTAGTGCGCTTTGATTGAGGAAGCGCGCAAAATCGATTCGAAGCTGAATATGCTAACCTATAATTTCTAGTTAATAAATTGATGACACTCGCATGCTCAATGGTCGTTGCATGGAATTCGTCATTCTTTGAAGATGATCCTGATGTTGGACCTTTTGTTTGGGCAAGATAATATCCACACGCTCTCATTTTACTGATAAATCTTTAGCAGTGTATCTTTTTATATTGCCCGTAGCTACGCGTAAATCTCATGTGAGATTTGGATTGAGAAAGCATGATCTAATTGCAAGAAAAATCTATTTTTCCAAGTTTGTAATTTCTACATTTTATCTTAAACTTTCCTTCTCTCAGAACTTTCTCTTCGTTTCTCTAGTTTTCTATCTTCTTCTTCTCTTTATTTTTTTCTTCGTTCTCTTTTTTTTCCCTCCCCATCTTTTAGCTCTATTTTGCAGCTATGTTATATTTCTCTTATACTTCCTATCCCATTACATTAAGAATGGTTGTGGACATGAGACAAGGAATATATTATCAAAAGTGTCATGATCCCGAATGCAAGAAAATCAACTTCCGCTCTCAAGGTAATGGCTCTTCAAAGACGATACTACACACCTGTCGTATTTGCTGTTATATTATTGTTTCTAGTGACCAATTTGAGGTCAAAAATAGCCGTTAGAAAATGAGAACGCAATAAAGTTCGTATCAATAAATATAACATAAGTGGTGACTTATTATGGAATAGCGCTCGATGATCTAGCGCCTGGGGATGTAAACTGGAATTTGAATATACCACAACGGTGCTTCAGTGTTATATTTGGGCAGGAAATATTACGGCCACTGTCTAAGTTATAAAACAGTAATTTTAATTCGTACATGAGGTCGTGCGTTTTATTGTTTTGATTGGTTCAGAGCAGAAGCCATTTAACATTCACATGGCGAAGATTTGTGAACAATAAAGTAGACCTCTATCATCATAAGCAATATCACTATGTTTACTGCCACCATCAACATTAAAGCTGGTTTTTCTAGCATTGGATTAGAGTCAAAGCAGCTTATGACGAAGTGAAGATCAGAAAACAGAATCATAATTGTAATCAGAAACGCGGTGAAATTAAAATCGAAAGGTTGGGAAGGTTTCTCTTTGCTTGGCTTGTACTTACGACAACCGGTTTTTCACTTGCAATTTCACACATGAACTGCTTCCGTCTCTGATTCCGATTCGGACGCAAGTTGAAACCATCCTTTTTAGTATTCATACATGCTCTTCCGTTCATACATTATCAAATCAATAAATAGTGACATTAAAAACATTGGTCGTAGTTCGTTCAACTAAGAAGATGCTGCTCTTCAAGAAGCCCACGCACGATGCACACATTAAAACGCACTGAGATTTTACTAAGAAAGTAAAGTTACCCCGGCGTGTGCTGGAGAAAAAGGTTAAGAGCCGTTTATTTATTTGAGTATAAAACATTGCGATAAAAAAATAGTCAAATTGTATACGAATATTTATCTGGGCCAAGGTATATTCGTAAATTGGATTCGTGATTAGAGAGAAGTCCGGCGAAAAGCCCAAATACCTTGATTTTTTATCGATTCTCCGCGAAACAACCCGTCAGTTGATCAAAGCCAGGGCACGGCTGACGAACAGAGGAGGGAGGAAACCCGGAGAATACGGAGAATACAAGAGAGAGAGCTAACGAACACCTAAGTGTGACAGAGCTCGATACATCAAAGTAGTTGGCCAGCTTGCTCCTCAGAACAATATTATGATTTGATATCAACATTATGATTATCTTTGCAATCTTTATTTTTACTAGTGATCTTAACCATTCAGTCACGTGTTATTTTTTTACACTTATTAATTTTTGCAGAAAAACCAATACCAGAAGAAATAAACCCATTTCGCCACGAAAAGGACACATTGGATGAGTCGGTTAGTATTCAAATGCTTTTAGTTTTGATCAGACGTAGTGTAGTGTATGATATTGAACATACAATCCTATAGAGCCGGACAAAGAGTGCTTTTCACATTATCAAACGCACCAAAAAGACCCTTGAACATAATGTGTCGTTCTTCGTGGTGTCCTCAGTTTTCCTGCCTGCTTTTCCACTTCATTTTCCTTGTTCACTTCGCTTTTCTTACCGAGTTATTATCTTGCTATCCAGTTTTTCTTTTCCCACGGCTATCGTAATCATTACCGCTGACATAGGAAGTCCTGTCCTGTTATCGAAAATAATTTGCTGAAATTTGCTTCAAAATAACTAGGAAATGCCTTCATGTCAAAAGTTAGTCTCCCCCACAGCCGCTTTCAGTGTCGTCACGCAACGCTTTCCAAGCGACGACACTGAAAGCGGCTGTGGGGGTGACTAGTCAAAAGTATGCCAAGTCTAACCTACTTCGTTCACCACTGGTCATTACACACACACTGCCGTCTCTAACTACTGCTTATTATAACTTCTCTACTATCCAGCCGTGCTTAGGGCAATCTAGCGAAGATTTTAATTTTTTTACGAGACTTAATTTAGTTCGCAACTTTTGAATAATTTGGCAGGTTTTACTTGCCTTCTAGCGCGTTTAATTTTAACACCGATGCCACTCTTATTTTAAGAATTTTGAAGATAATTATGAAAAAAAGATAATTTATTAACGTACATCGTGTTTAATTAGTATTAAATTGTTTGACCGTTTTGTTATTTCCTCTCTTCTCTTCTCTTCTCTTCTCTTCTCTTCTCTTCTTTCTTTCTTTCTTTCTTTCTTTCTTTCTTTCTTTCTTTCTTTCTCTTAGGCTTTATGGGAAAACGATTTAGAAGATGACGAAGTACTATATCAGATAGCAGAAGAGACAGAACAGAGCCAAGACAGTGAGCTGAGCATCTTGTTAGCAGACGATTCAACTGATTGGGAACCTTGGAAAGACCTTCCGACGTGCAATGATGTAATAGATCAAGTTACTAATTCCTGTGACGAAGGCTCAAAATATAAGACAAACGAGAAGTAAAAGAGAACACACACACACAAAAAAAACACAATTCATCTTCCATCCCTTTTTCATTTTACTTTTTGTGTAAATCATATAGATGGTACTCTAGAGTTGTCCTTAAATTTTAAAGTCAGCAAAGATATATAATGCCCAAAGAAACTTTTTATAATTGATCTTTTAAAAGCTCAATATTTTTTGGGACGTCTGTCAAGTTAACGTCATTATAGCGCTTGGGGGTTTCTGCTTTTTTAAATTAAGGTAATCCTTGAAAACTTCCTCAGAGTTTTGAACATCTGTTTGTTAAAAGAATGAACTAATACTTGATAGGTATCTGTTTAGCTTTCTGCAAATTTGTAAATATACAAAGTCGAAAAGGTTCGTTTAATTTAGACTTCTGACTGGAGGGAAATTCAGAATGCGACCTCACTTAAAGATAGAACGTAATATGGGTCCAAGTTGTACTTTATTTCATTGTGTAATGATAAAGATAATCAATATTCAGTGGGGGTGGTAATGAAAAATAGCTTGCTCCATAGTGTGACCTACGAGCACTTTAGATTTTAAATTCGTGAGTCAGGTTCAAACACGCATTCTCGCAAAATGAATCTGGTAGTTATTCTGATCAGGAAATAAGGGAGATTTAAAAGACTTTGCAGAAAAAGTTGGCTCTCTGTAATGAGCACTGAAAACGCACGGTACTGCAATTTCATTGACCAGAGTCGCCAAAGACTTTTGTTGTATCATATCGCTATCAGAATAAACCAAGATGACTGGCAAATAGTATATTTTGTTACCTCATGGGCTATCTCTCGAGAGCAAGGAATTTATCTTTTTACACTGATTTGCATGCAACTGTGTCTAAAACATGAATTGCAGAACAAGGAAAATTGCGAACCCAAGTGGCGATGACCTCAATTGTAAAAGAAATGTCACGTGTGTCGTGCACGTCACGCGGTTGGTTTTTATGCCCGTTGCTTTCTCCACTTGGAAGCAGACGTTTGAGTCTCCTGAAAAATCTCGCAAAACATGGATCAAAATTACACTGAAACACCTCAACGCTGTATGGCTTGTAACAGATTGGTAAGTAGGAGGGTTTCTTAAGGTTTTAAAGGCCAAAAACAAGTAATATATTCGAGGGAATAGGGTAGGTAAAACGTGAAGACTACTGATCGGATTCATGGTGCTGTATTTCTGGCTGGGTAAAGGTTGTGAAGACAGTCGTATCCTGTCACACAACTAATTCCTGTTCGTACGGTATGAATTCCAAAGAGAATGCTAATGGAAAACTTCCAGTAGTAATTGCTGGTTTTACGCTAGAAAGGAAAGCGCTAAAATATCTATTACTCTGCTTTGCTGAGGAAGATTTTCGCTATGCTTCAGGTATGAAGATATGGCAAAATGTAAGCTCAGCAGCCTTGCAAAGACATTAGCTAACATAAAGAGCTGTTCACGGCAACTCGTTGACTTCAAAGTGGTGAGACGTAAAACACGTAGATGTATCGGAATAAGAAACGAGAAGTCGACGATTAGGTTTTTACTTGCTCCTCGCTCAATGCGGCTCTGTCGATCTCGCCCAGTCGTTCATATAGAATCGTATCAGCATGGTGCTGGTGTTTGAAACAGGTTTAGAAAACAGTCATCCGCTGCAAATGCATGGCAAGCTAAAATACTGTTTGCGAACTAACGTACCGTATGCAAACACAAATGACAAAGTTGGTATTTGATTAAGTGAAAAGCGGTCGAGAAAACTACACGTCTAAAATTGGATATACAAGTAAAAATAGGAAAATATATTYTTTTGCAAAATGAGTTTGCTGTAACAAGACCATGTTTGACAGGCTTGTAGCAGGAAGGGATTTAATGTCCTAAAATGAATAATAGAGGGATTGCAAATGAAAGGAAGGGAATAGAGGGCAATAAAGTAAACAATTTACTTCTCGAATATTCTTGCCAGTTATATGCTTTTTTTGGTATACTTTCTCCACTGTCATACAGACTTACCTCTTCTGTTGCTATGGAAATGCTGAATAAATTTTCAAAGCTAACATTTCAAAATATCATTATGTGTATATCCTTAAAGGGGGTGACCAACGGAGTTAATTTGCACATAAAGGGGACTAAAGAAAGCCACATTAGGCGATTCGAGAAAACGCTAATAAGCTGCAACTTAAGCGATGGCAACTGCGGACGATAATGCCATCAAAACACCCGGCGGCAATAAATGCAATTCTGTATTGGCAAATGGAATGGAATATAATCCGCTTCAAATCACCATTTTAAAAAAACATTATTCCAGACCTTTTGTTAAACATTTTTCATCTCTTCGAATCAAATTTCCGGTACTTGGCAAAACGCTAAAACGAAATAAAAACCAAACCAAGAAAAATCTCGGGTTTTTTTCCAAGTAGTAAAGCAGCTTCGGTACAAAGTGTACCTTTATTATTCTCAACAGTTGGATATGAGGATATAGTAGAAGCCGCACACTCCATGATTTTGAAATAAACAATTAGAAAATACTAAACCAAATGGGAGTTTTTTCAAACCTGTTTGTACACGAACGATCTCGCAGAAATGAACTTAAAAATGAGGTATGAGTTTGGGAAAAAAGCAAATTATTGCCTCAAAATACGTTTAAATAAAGATGAAACAGGATCGATACGTGCGAATTTCTTCCTTTCTTCCTCAGTTTTGATCATTTTTGCAAGGAAAGGAAGATCTGTTTTACCAAAAACAAGCGAAATAAATGTATTACATTCACGTCTATGCTTAACACTGAAAGTGAAACTGGTGTTCTTGTAGACAGGTCCATCTTCGAGTCAAAACCCATAGGGTTTTTACCGACATTCACAGGGCCTCCGCTACAACGGGTAATATTTGCATAACGCCATAATAATTGACCGATAAGAAACCGAAACTTGTTTGACCAATGAAAGGATTATCGGAGTGTAAAACTCAATACGGATTGGAATCAGCTTTTTCAGTTGAATCGAAAATGGCTAGGATGTCTAGGATAGCACAAGCGAGAATCACCCGAACTGACAGGAATGACAGGAATATGATTCGTAACTTTGTCGAAGAAAAATAATTGATTTTTGAGTCCGATAAAAGCCGACTCCTGAAAGAAAGATGAAGACCTTTTGTCTAGTGCTGAAGACAAGCGGGTTGAGTAATCCTCGCTTCAGCCAATCGATTGTCGGTACAGGAAGCCATTACTTTTTGGTTTCCCGTMTTGGGACTTCATGTCTTAGACGAGTATCAGGAACTAACACAAGTTTCTTTGAAGCCACTGGCCGTTTTAACTGATCAAGTTACTGTATGAAAGAGTCTTCTTTTGCCGAGGACCCGAAGTTGATCGGGGTTTCTTGGAAGGGGGAAATCATTTCGGCTTCCTTGTTGCTTGTTGGTTACTAATATTCTTTTTATAATCTCTGTTGATGTACACTGAATATAATTTTAGAAAACGACGGCCAAACATGCAAGGGCCACCTCTGACTACAGCTCAATTGCATTAATTGCCTCCCTCATATATTAAAAATAACTCTCTAACGCACTCGCTTCCCGCTTTCATGATCATGTTTTTACCTTCCTTCCTTCCTTCCTTCCTTCCTTCCTTCCTTCCTTCCTTCCTTCCTTCCTTCCTTCCTACCTACCAACCTACTCCTACCTGCCTACCAACCTACTCCTACCTACCTACCTACCTACCTACCTACCTGCCTACCTACCTAGACCTACCTACCTACCTAGCTTACCTACCTACCTACCTACCTACCTACCTACCTACCTACCTACCTACCTACCTACCTACCTACCTATCTGCCTACCTAGAATATCACCACTAGTGAAGTTCACCTATCCAAACTATTTTCCATATACCCATTCCTCTCGCTATCCGACGGATAACTTTATCCATGGGATAGATTTATTGGACAACAGCATCGACTTGTCCACTGGATAAGGATTCATCCGTTGGATGGCACTATCCACCCTTCCAACAACCGGGCCCAGATGTGTACCACCTCTGTGGTTTGAAAGGGCAAACCAGGTAGGTATATTAACTAAACTATACACCCTTAAGCCCGAAGAAAACCCTTCTCCACCTCACTGTACTGACTGACCTTCCCATACCTCGCCTCAACCATTTAAACTAAGTATTCATTGCCTGCAATAATTGAGATTCAAAATATTGAACATTAACAGCTACATAATGCATAACAATTTTCTTGCTCGATCCAAGATAAATTATTTTCAGACTAAGGATTTTTTGGCAGCAGGACTAACATGCTACCGTTTAAACTTCAAATTAAGTTTCTTATTTTTAATATGCCATATCGACCTTGACGTAAAAAATTGTTGATTTTTCACATTAGCCGGCTCTCTATCCATTTACTAATTCACTCAGGACATTTCCGAGACTTCCGACGAACACGAACATCATTTGTCACTATAGCAACCCAGCTTTCAAGGACCTATTCTCTTGACGTCATTTAGGTGCTAAGCACAACAAACAGCTGCCAGTTTACTTCCAAATTCAGTAAGGAATAGACTTTTTACAATTTGTTTATGTTACATTGTCATTTAGGCCCGACGGGATTTCCAGCATGCTTTCCCTGTTTTCTGTTCGTTTGACAAAAGCTAAATGCTACAAAGTACTTTGATCAAGCTTCCGCATACTTTCATTGCTTCAGCAGTAAACAAAATCATCAAAATCTAATAATGTTTAAATTATAGTCAGGCATTTGTCAAAATTTCAACACCAATTTTTTATTACCAAGAGAGCAGTTATTTCGCTTGGAATAAGTAATGATGTCACAAAAGCTTAGTATCAAGTAGAAATCTTTCAATTTTCACCAACAAAAATAAACACTTTACATGTAATCGTATCAGTCAAAATCATTCGTCATTGATAATGATATATTGAAATTAGAACGATAAGGCTTTCCTAATGCAAGATTCAAGCCTCAAAGTTAAAAAGCCTGTATATACGGGTTGGTTTCACTACATTCTAAATGCCAAACGTGCATAAATAAAGTATAATATTGATTGGAATATCGTCTCTAGTATAAATCAGAAAATCTCTTCATTCGCTGCAGAAATTATGTAAAATTCATAAGCCACAATAACAGGAAATGATCTGCGTGGCGTTTAGTACATTCTGCTTAACTACTCGCTACCTATGTGGATACACCAATATTTTGTAAGATGAATGTAATCATCACAAACTAACGGCCAAGCCAGATTTTAACAGGAAATTATAAATATCAATTATGCAACAGCAAATTAATTTATTTTCGAGTCAGCATTTAAGAGTATATGACGTGCTTCATCGCACATAACCTATAAATAACAACATCTCAAATATTTTGTTATTAATACGGACTTTTGAGCTTGATTGACTTCCAAGAAACCGGTCAAATATTGAAAGGTTATTTTTCTAATAGTTATAATAATTTCAGTCGAAAATAGGTTTTAAGAGTTAAGTTTTTGACAAATTTGGACGATATTCACCGACGTGTCATAACCACTTTGCTCCTCCCACCGATCAGGTGACCTTCCCAGAATGCATTGTCTGGTGGGTTTTGAATACCTTATAAGTATAACATTTTCGTCAAGTATTTCCTAACTGGTAGCTGAATGACGTAGATTGCTCAGGGTGGCTGATAAAACAAGATACGTTGACTTTACTGTGGATATTTCTTGCTGTTCCAGACGACGTCACTAATCATTTTGGGTTCCCACTCGTTCTATCGCTCGTTTGAACTCCTGGTGGCGAAGAACCGGTTCTCAAAACCCAAAACACAGACCGCTTTTTCTCAAGACTAAAACCATGGCAAACGTACAGTGTATTTCGTGTAATTCGCCGGTAAGATTCTCCCATAATCTGGGACCAAATCCAAGCGTTCAATATTCATGGTTGTATTCGAATTTTGATTGATATTTGTCGCTAGTGAATCGAAGTCATCAGGCTCGAAAGGTCATGAAATACGACATGTTCTTGTTATAACAAGCTACCACAATATTCCATTCAATACTTTACGTTGTATTTGTTTTAATCACTAAACCAAATACGCTAAAAGAGAAGTATATCGTGAAGAACACACCAGAGAGCGGCGTTTATTCAACCGGCCCATTTTGAAGCGACAGGCTGGCTTGTTCATTCTTCCCCGGCAGTCCACCGGACTCTCGTTTAAATAAGCAAAATGTTTTGTAGTTGCTACTTGATATTTTAATTTATATTACTATTATCGTATTATTACTAATTGCTAATGCCATTTTTATTATTTACATTATTATTTAAATTATGTATTTTTAAAATGCATTTATACACAGAGAATTTCACTTAGTTATTTTAACGTTTGTAAAGAATTTTTTTTTTTTTTTTTTTTGAACTAGAAAAATTTTTTTAACCTATTCCAATGTACTTCACAAGATTGTGCTGATCTTTTCGATCTCATTTTGTTTCGAAACTTGTTAATATTTTTTGATCATTAAGACGCTAATCCTCAGTAGTGAATACGTTGAAATACAAGACTCAAGCGCTTATTTTATCTTTCTCTGATAGGATTGTAATCACTGGTCGTATGATACATATCATAAGATATATTATCAATCACAGGATATCGCGCACAGACAGTATAAGTGCACTTGGTTCTACTAGGAGTATTTCTTATCGTGGGATCGGTTTACACAATTTAAAACGCTCATTTACTGCTATTTTCTCCACTTTTAATGGCATGGTGTAAAATGTTAGGCTGATACCACGCAAGATATTTGGACAAGTCGAATCAAGAAAGCAGACTGTTACTGACACAGACGCGCTTATACGTGCACTAAGTCACTAATTAAGAATACGGTCTTATAGTGGTTATAATCCAAATAATGCAACAAATCCTGATAAATTGGAGAGTCAACCTACCTTAAACTCATTTGCATTTAACCTTTATTCTTAACGTTCTCTCGAGAGGGCGCTTTTGTTTTCGTATTTGATGCCCAGCTTTCGAAATAAGAGCGTCATCAAAATGCAAAGAGGGCGTTATCATTTAGCTTGTTCGCCTCCTTAATATTTACCTCATGGATTCCAGACGGTATCCCTAAAATTTCCTCGACGAAGACTACAGGTTACACGCCCGTACGGCATTGTGGTACATGTAGTCCTTGTATAAATGTACCGATAATAGAGAATTTGTACAACCTGACTATTTCGAAAAATTGTTAGTAAACGACATTTTTTACATTACGCCAGTGAGAAAAAGTGAATCTCAAGCCTGAAGGAATTTTTTGATTAACAGTTTTGTATTGTGATAACATAGATAAAACCGGCACGTAACGTCAGCTTAAATCAAATATTGCACCAATATCTGAAATAGCACGTCACTGATAGCCAGCAGCAATCATGCTAAAGTTGAATGATAAAGCTGAGTATCATCGGAAAATCATCGCTATTAAATTCATCGGTAGATCGTCTCTGAAATTTTGCGTCTTTGATGGACTTAAATTTCTAGAACCAACTTTCTTTATTTAGAGACCGTTTTTACTATTTTATAATGTCGTACTCATCAAAATATTTTCTCGTTTGCGGATTAAGATGACCATCGCTTCAAAAATCCCCATATTCATCATTATGATCTCGTTCAAGTGGGGGTATTTGATTAATCATCGTCTTTCAGTTCTCGTGTGGTCCTCTGGGTTAAACAGGGCTTCTTACAGCATGATTATTGCTTTCTGTAATCATAAACTGATTGGTCAAGGCCTTTGCAATTTGTAGGAATTTTTTCAGACAGTCTATAGAGGGCGTAAAGCCTTATCCGAGTAATCCGATGTTTCGTCTTAAAAACCGGCTCGAGACATTCTGATTTTAAAAGTTAAAACATTTCGAAAAGCCTATGATTGTAAAATATCTATTTTGGTTCAAGAAAGATTCTTATAAAGGGTTTTAAAGAGACTACCTTTGAAATTTTGTTATTTTCAGTATTTTATTGGGAGAGTGTTTTCAGCGATAAGTCACAGGGTGACGTGACGTAGTGTAACGCATGCCAGAATAAGAAAGAATCCAACTGAAAGTAATCGGCTTTAAAAAGAGAGGTCAAAAATCGCAACGAAAACAATTTCAATACTATTCATTTCATGCAAAATTGCATTAGTTTTGTTTTAAAATCTAATGCAATAAGTTACAGATTCGGACATAGTCAGCAAGAGTCCCACACAGAACAGTACGGTTCGGACTACGAAAAGTCCCGTTTACACTAGCGATTTTTGCGGCGATTTTTGCTGCGATTTTTTTGCAATTTTTTCCATAATAAATACCTCTCTAACGGCGATGATTTCCTGTGAATTATTCTCATGATTTTTTATTAGCTTTAGGGCATAATAAGGGCACTGTTTCCGGTTTACATGTCCGATGTTACATAAGTGTTTATATTTTAAACAATACAAATGGAATGTAAACAGACCTCATACCTGTCATATACTCTGATAAGCACCAAATAAATCAATAAACAACCGACCTGGAATTTTATTAGATTAGAAAGCATTCCTTGCGTATTTTGCTAATTTGTTTTTTGTTTCAGATTTCTGACGCCTCCAAGTCATGTAAATGCGGTCACGTCAATGAAGCCATGCGCACTATCGCTGGTAAAAGATTCTCTGGTAATTATTCAGTAATATGAAAATATTTCTTATTATTGTCGTCACGCTATTAATGTCGTCACGGAGTAAGCGTTGCGTGACGACATTAATAGCGGCTGCGTAGGAGACCACGGTCATACTTCATATAGAATAATAAGGGTGTTTTACTAAAGATAACTGTGAAGTGATAACCCATATCTTGGAAATCAAAGATACGTGTCAAATTGAAAATATAGATAAGCATATTCAAGATATGTTATCACAAGTCAAGTTTATTAAAAAGCATACCGTTTTAACACGAGATAATGAACTGTCGGTCGAGTGCTGTTATGTCTCGTAAGGGTCACGTGGGGTTTGATCACGTGACAGCAGCCATGTTGGATGACAGAACAATGACATTTTAGTAAATAAAGTACCATTCATAATGAAATGCAAAATGGAGCTGTTTTCAAATAGGAGCAATTCAGAGTGAATGTTAATCAGTTATTATTCATACAAGATCCAGACCATTACATAGAAATATATCAATGCGATTAGCCTCTTACGAGCAGATTGGAAGGCAATTGTCATATATTTATCATTATTGTCATTATATATGCTGTCCAACAACTTGAAGCTTAACAACGACAAGACAGAGTTTCTTCTACTGCATGCGCAGCATCGTCCATCGCCACCACTGGACACTATTTCTGCTGCTAACGAACTCATTAAAGTTTCTGAACATGCAAGGAACATTGGTGTAGTTTTCGATAGGACTCTAAGTTTAGCTAA